ACAGTGATGTAGGAAGCGCGTGATGTCCGAAGAAACCCCGGTAAAGTATTCCGGCTGGGTCACCAGCTTGGGTTTGACATCGTTCCACGGGTTATTGACGGCCCCCGGCGCTAGTTGCCAAGGTGGAATCGGGTCAGGAGGGGATGGCACGTGCGGAGGCACCGGTGCCTTGGGCGGTCGCGACACCGACCGCAGGTTCCTGTTGTTTCCTGGCGGCGTATAGCTGCCGAAGTTCCAAGGCGGGTTTGGTCCCATTGGTGGCTGTGGGGGCACCGTGGACCCTTTCCCCTTGTCAGGGTGAGACGGTCCGGCACCCGGATCGTCCATATCGTCGTCATCCTCTCCTGCTCCTCCGAAGAACCCCTCTGGGAAAAAGTCCGACGGGTCCGTCGGGTGGGGCATCGGCTGGGGCCGTCGGTACGGTTCGCACTCCTGCTGGGGCACTCCTGGGTTCATCAGGTTCCAGACGATGGCTGCCCTGTGCCAGGTTTCTACTTCGAGGATATTTTTCATCAGGTACACGTCTCCTGACTGTTTGGCGTGTCGGTAATCTTCCCCCGCCTCGGAGAAGAGCCACTGCGGGTCTTTTTCCATATCCTCCATCATTATCTCGTATAGTCCATGCCATGGTAAAAGTTCGAAAATGGCGGGCCTAGGCACTGGGCCCTGAAGGAGGACCTGTTTTACCGCCGCCATTACCGTCGGTTCCAGGGCCTGGTTTGGAGGTCGACTCGGCATCCTTGCTCTCCTGCCTCTCTCGGGCGAGTCGGTCAATCTCCTTGTTTCGCCTCCACCTCCCGATGTCGGAGTCCTCGTTGGAGATCTCCTCCTGATAGACTCTCCACGCTCGGGCTCTGGCCTCGAGGTCTGTTCCCGCCCTTCGGGCGTATCCTGTGTAGCGAACGGCAGCGGCCCGTATTCGGTTGTCGACTTCTTCGGGGGTGGCGTCGGGCTCGAGGGGAAGGTCCCAGAAGCCGTTGGGCCCATAGAGGGCGTCCTCCTCGGCGCGTCTGATGCGTGCATCATGCGCTCTGCCTCTGTCCATTCGGGCCTGGACCTCTGGGGACTCCCGGGCATCTCGAGAGAGTCGGAGGGACTTGACGTACGTGTGATAGAGGAGCGGCCACGGATGCTGGGTTGGAGGGATAGGGTTGGCGAAGGCGCGCGACGCGACTGACGGTTCCCAGTCGGAGACTCCGGCGAGTCGCTCGGAAGAGGTAATTGTTCCAAGTTCTTCGGCGTCATAATCTGGGAACTCACTCCAAAGCTCCCCATCCGTCGGCTCGTGCGAGGCGACGGGGGAAGGGAGTGTTGGGGCCTCGGGCCCCGAAGAGACTGGGTTGGGCTCTCCGCTGGTCGGGACTCCGGCCACAGGAGTCTCTTCCCCGTCGTCGGCGTAGACCCAACTGGTGTCGGGGTACCAGGCGACCGGGGGTCCTCTATTGGTTGGCCAGGCCCTTGGAACAGGCTGTGGGTGAGCTGCACGGGTGGTAGCCGCGGAGGCTCCGAGGCCAAGCTCTCCGGGATCGTCGTAGAAGTCGTCTCGGCGACCCCTGGTGCGCGCCATTCTTGCGCGGTCTCTTGCGTCGTCGGCCGCGATTCTTCTGTCGCGGACCTCCTCCCATACACCTTTATGTCCCCACCCTGAGTGGGTCCTGCTGCTCGTGGAGCTTCCGGGATCGGGGGCATCTTCCTCCTCGCTCAAGTAGAGGTCGTTGAGGAGGTCGTCGAGTCTAGTCCTTTCCCACTCGGTGAGCTCGTCCCCTTCGAACTCGGTGTCAGGGCTTTCTTCGCCCTCGTCCAGAGGCCTGGTGCCTTGTCCTCGGCCTCTGTCGTCGCCAGACTCGCCTTGGATTGGAGACTGGTCGAAGAGACCTGGTAAGGGCGAGTCTCCTCGGTCGAGGAGTACCCCCCGGGTATCGGTGATGTTGATGGAGTCTGCTGGTGTGCTGGAGGCGCTTCTGTAGGAGTCGGTGCTCGACTCTGAGGATCGCGAGCTGGGTCGCGACGATGTGTAGAGGGACTCTCCAGGTCCCCCAGATCTGCTGGATCCGACATCTCCTACTGTCTGCTGGGATGCCGATGGAATGTCAATTACCGGAGGTGGATATGCCGGTGCGCTGGGAATGTAATGGATAGGAAGTTGTGCGTGGATTTGTCTCCGCTGGCAACAACGACGAAGTCGGTACAAAATAATGGACAAGAAAAAGAGTATAAAAGTCGCGAAGACGGCGAGAATGGATTCGGACCAGGGCATTCGTCCGGGGATCTATCCGCTGCGTAAGTCGACGATTGACCATGCAAGCTGGTAAACAGCAAGGATGGTGAGGACGATGAGGAGCGCGATGATCAGGCTAAGGTCGGTCTCGTAGTTGGAACCGTTCATTAACAAGATCTCGCAACTTTCAGAGTCGGGAGTGCTCGTGACTATTAACAACGCGATTGTCAACAGTGAGGCGAGCTGGAGGGCGAGAACGAAGGGTTTCGTATTGGGATGCGTGGTGTCCTTAAACGAGACAGGGATATAGCATATACAGGGCGACTAGCAGGCCTGCTAGTAACACTGCCGATACTCCGAGTCCGATTAGGGCAAAGGTAAGGAGTACAGTCACAAAGACTGCAAGGATAAGGTCGTCATATAGGATGAATCCAACAATCAAGACGAACACAAACAACAGAAGGAGTAGTCGGAAGGGGATTACCCAAAGGACTACTGCAACGAGGAAGTGTATCGGATGAATTTTGGAAGTGAGTGCTTTTCCGTCGGTCCACTCGCTATGCGTTGACAAGCACCGGGTTGTCCACACGAACACAGGCGATGACCTCCTCTGGTCAAGCAAGGGGTATTCGATCTGAAAGGTAGATTGCACCGACGAAACGTCAAAGTGCTACTAGCAACCGTTTCGGTTTAACTAGGGAATGCAATGGTGTAATATCGTCAGGCAGCGTTCGTTCTCTGACGTGGCGCTGGGCGGCGATGTCGAGCTTCGGCTAAATGTTAGCCACTAACTCTATCGACTTAGATCGAGCTAAGGTCGCTACTCGCACTTCGGTAGACGACGCTTTAGCTAGTCAAAGGCAATGAAAGTCGATGGGACAAATAGTCACGAAGGACGGAGTTCGATGTCAGGTAGAATTAACCTTAGCCGAAGCTGGGGTTCAGACCAGCTGAGGCTCTACTTAAATACACGTGAGTATTCTAAAAATACGACTGCGCAGTCAGTCCGTGATGATCGCGTCTCGCGTAATCCGGCTGACTAATGAAAAGAAAAGAAAATAAAAGGAAAAGAAAAAGAAAAGAATAACCGTAACAAAGTATGTCATATTTTCTAGTTCAGCCTCAGTAGGCTCCCGAGCTAGATCCTTCCACAAATTCCGGGATGATGTCTTCATCTCCATACTCCCCGACCCTATGCTGCTGTGATAGGTCGAAGGCTGCCCTATTCCAGGGTTCTCATAAATTTCGCCTTCCTCTAAGTCCGATTGGTCGGACTCGCTCAAAAGGCTCCGTGCTTCCTGTAACGATTCGGTTCCAGTTCCGAACGATTCGTGCCCACTCGTTGACCCTGAGTATGACCTGATCGAAGTCTGGTCTTCGGGGTCTATCCCATACCCAGGGTGCAACGAAGGGAACGGGGGCTGCGTGGGGGTGTTCTGGTGCGAGGGGGTAGATGGCGTAGGGGAGGACGGAGGCAGGGGCTTCGATTCCCTCGTACATGAGCCAAGCGTCGGCGTAGTCCTGTATCTGTCTGCATATATCGCAGCTGGCGTCTGTGTCGTATGTGGGTCCGCAGCTGTCGAGCTCGGTAGTGGCTTCCCGGGCCCGATCGTTGACGATGATTGGGGTGTTCGGGCGGGTGACGAGGTTGAGGTAACTGCCTTCGTCGTCTGATGAGTCATCGCGGGCATAGTAGTTGCCCCAGGTTTCTCCTCTGGAGTCCAACCTTGGAGGGGACCAGTTGTTGGGCGGGCCTGGGGGCTCGTCGCTGTCGTAGTCCTCCTCTGTATTGCTGCTTTCTTCATTTGAACTGCTTCCAGTTCCATCTTCAGCCTCTCTTCTTTCTCCCAGATGATGTCTAAGCCCTCGCTGATAGAGGCGCTGCCCGTTTGAATCGTACCCAGGGTTGGCGGTCGAGTTTTCGGTTGAGGTGGGGGAAGGGGCGTTCCAGGGGTCACTTCCTTCGCTTTCCCCTTCCTCTTCGGTAATGGGAGAGAGAACACGCTGGTCCATCCCTTGTTCGTAGATTCCCCGCTCTTCTTCTTCTTCAACGACTGGGCCTCTGTGTGAGGGCCATCCTTCCATTTCGAAGTCGGAGTCGTCGGACTCACTTGTGCTGGAGTCTTCTGTGATCCACTCGTCATCGTTGATGAATATGAAGTGGATAACGGGGTTAGATCTGTCGTTGACGTAGTCAGGAGGGGGTGTGTCCTGTCGTCTATCCTCCTTGACGGGGGCTTCGACGGGGATAATTTCTTCGGAGACTGGCTCCTGGTTTCGTCGGTATTCGTATCCATATAGGAATGCAAGGTAGACTAGGGCACAGAGGCCCTGGAGTCCTATGAAGTCAGTAATGGTTTGTTCGATGGGGTTCATTCGTTACTGCTCGTCAACGTGGTTGTTGATGAGAGGTAAGAAAGTCTCGAACTAATTGTTAGCGACCAATTACACAAACAAGATCAAACAACTAAGCGTGACTCGCACTTCGGTCAGGCGCTTTATGTTGTCCACAGGTTTGCGTGCAGGGAGCTATCGCTTAGTGAGCGAGAGTGAGTTCAGACTAAGTTATCGGGTGAATAAACTTTAGTTCGAGACTGAGGTTTAAGACCTGCAGTCGAGCTACTTAAATACAGTTTGAGTCATTCTAAATATAGTATGAGTGTCTGTAACGGTGCATGAAACACACGATACCAGCATGTAGGAGTGCGATCAGAGTCGGAAGATTAGCATATGAGGATTACGATGGGTCGGATAAGATAAGATACGGCGTGAAATCGTAATACTACAGAGAACCAGGCACGACATATTTGATACACTTATTCACTTCCTCACGGTCTCACGATCCCAATCCGAGGCTCTTTCATTCAGAACCTCCTTGGAGAAGTGTGCTTGCATGGTCGAAACCGACCGCGATATCAAACTGATCCATAATCTTCGCGACTTTCGATACCCCAAATCGCAATGCACATTTACAGATGTTCTTGACTCGATAATGGAGCTGGTCGTTCGTGCTATCATCCGTCCAGAGTTAGATACTGGCATACCCCAACTTCGCAGGATGGGGAGGGAAGCGCACAAAGCAGAACGAAGTGGTCTCCAGCCGCAGTGGCCCACAAAGCCTACCAATACATTCCCGCAGGGCACGGACGTTACAATGCAAATGCTCTGGACATGGGTTGATCTATACGAGGTCACACACATCGTCACCTACATTAACATCCTTCTTCGGTCGTCCGGAAGCACCTTCGTGTCATCCTTCTCCAAAATGCCTGATTATCCCTCTCGCATCCTTTCCATCTTCGAATCACGGCTCGACAAGCTGAATTCTGGAAAATATCGTGACGTACACCCCTTCGATCTAGCGTCGATACACGATTTTATACGACTTACGGGGACCATGGGATCTGATTCTATGTGGAAGGATTTAGGGATAATGATGCAGATGGTGATGCTGTGGCAGCCTTACGGAGAAGCCCTTCTCCTCCTGCTCGCTAAAGCCCTCCGCATCGCGTCTTCAACTTCCAATTCCGTCGTTTCACGTCTGATCATCAAGGAATGCTTCCAAGACACTGGGGGGATGATACATCATCTCTATCTCAAGCAGAAAGACGTTACACAGTACCACCCAGCTTTTCTACCCAAGTCTCGTAGGATCGCAGCAGCGATGACGAGCCCTGATCCCTATGCTAGTACTGTAGCGACTCTGAAGTCGTTGCTGGATATGGACAAATGTGGGTTGTACGGCTGTTCGCAGACATTCACGCTGCGAGGGAAGAGATTCCAATACTGTGGGGGCTGCGGGAAGATTCCGTATTGTTCCCAAGTATGCCAATGACGAGCGTGGAAACATCCCTGTGCACCTCACAAGACGGTCTGTGTGACGTTGAAGAAGATATGTGACGTCGTCAGGATTACTGGGAGGTCGTGGGTGGATGTCCCACAGGCGGAGTTTTCGAAGAAATGCAAAGAGGCTAATATCACAGTGGATGAGGCGAGGATTCTTGTGAAGTATCTCGAGGGTATGTTGGGGCGTTCCGTGTTGTATATGTCCTAGTTGTAGTTTGTTCATGTTCCGATACATACCGTTAGATTCCTCCAAAAATGCGGCGTTTGTCACTATTACTCGCAGGAATGAAATATATCCCTTGCAAAGGATCGGCAACCGATGAGTTGGGAATAATACATTTACAATCGATTCTTCGATGAGGTACGCGTTTGATATACTGTCTATTTCTTCATGTGCGGGATTTCCTGAGGATTATTCAAACTAAGTTGCATCAATTCGGCGAGTCGTACTTCGGAAGAAAACAAAACCGTACCTCTGAGCCTTCCTGGGAGTGCCTTTGCTTAGGAGTTCACCTACGCGTCCTCTCTTACGACTTCGTCCAGCTCTCGCAGGAGGTCGGTCAATGACTTCGCCTCAACGCTGTACCCTTTATTCTGGAGACGCTCCAAGGCTGAAATGACCCAGTAACGACAGTTCCAGCTGGTGTTATTGAGGGTGACGGGCGTATCCTGGATAATTCATTGGACGTTCTCCAGCTGGTCCTTGGGGATCGACCCCACCTTCACCATACCCAGGTATGCAGTGGACTCGAGAACGTCAGACAGGTCCTGTGGAGTTTTCACATTGTAGTTGGTTGTAGAACTGAAATCTGATGGGCGTGGGCTTCTATAGTCCTTTTCCTGGTAAAATGCTTTGGCTACTCTTTTTGATGATGAGTATGAACCAGTGTTTGACTCACATGGCCTTAGCGCCATAATGAGCCACAGCGATGGGGTAGATATCTTTAGACATAATAATATCTACTAGGGAAGGAATGTGTCAATGATGAGTGTGAGATATGTTAGCAAAGAGACCAGAAGAACTAACTGGTCAAATTGCGAAGTAATGCTCCAGTGAAAGGGAATTTGACACTAGAACTTGAAGGATGGTGGCTAAAATAATGTCAGTTTCTTCAAAGCTGCGGAGACTCAGGACGGTCTATGGGACTTACATCAACATGTTTGTGGCCAGGTGGTGGCACAGATAACCAGCAGACACCGCAGAAAATGGCTATCTTTCAAGGAGTCCAATGCCGCATCAATGACTTGAGATACACAGTATCAATTTTACATGCGTAACCGGAAGTTTTGCCATATAAAAGAACCAATTACAGACCATGAGGCGGTAGATCTGAGTTCTGCATCATTAGTACCACTGGACAAAAGGAGACGATGTCATTGGCACTGACGGCAGCAAGCATTATGACCCTTATGAAGAATGAAGCACGGAACATGACACCATAGTCACCACGGTCCCCACCCATATTGTTCTCGCATTTCATTTTGGAGATCCAACTCTTTGGAGTAGGTGTCCAAGAACTGCGAGACAAACTCCTTCCATCCGCCATCTTCGTATTGATCTACCCACAACGTCTTTAGATATTCCCACTGTTCCGGCATGAAGGCGGCCATTGCCCAGTCCAATATGGCCACGACATCATCGTTGGCTCCAATTATGATGTTCCGACGAACAAGGTCGGCATGAGTGAATACAATTCGATGGTCTTCCTGGAGGCACTATCAAAAATCAGCACTCCAGACCCTGATAGACTCACGACCCATCATATGAGAGAACCGGTCCAGAAAGAAGTCGTTCAAAGACGCTTCGGACTGGAATGAGTTGAAGAAGGAGTGAGAGATTAACGGGTCGTATCGTCTCCCTCCGGTGATGGCTGCTATCTGTCCAATGAGATGAGGGGGTGGACGGAGGGAGCGTAACTGTTCAAGATAGCCACGAAGTTGGAGTGCGATGTGAGTCTTCCGGTTACTATCAAGAGCAGGTCAGATAGCCTGAAGAGTCCTGCCTGGAATACAATCCATGACAATGTATGCAAGATGATATGGTTCCCCGTGTCCCAAAGCTATGTCTGACTCAGCCCAATGATCTTGAATGTAAGGGATAGGAATAGTGGTGTTTTTAGCAACGTAGAGCATCGTCTTGACCTCAAGTTCGTCAGGCAGATTACTTGTCTTCACCACAGTCCAAGGGCTGAAGCGATAGACCTGCGGCCCAAAGGAGCCATAGACTTTTCGACAAATGTAATACAGTGGGCGGTCAAAGTTCCGAAGCACGAAACGTCGGGTCACACTGAAGAGATGACACCAAAGGTCGTGGGGCCAAGAGCAGAACCAGATGATAGCTGACCCAGAACGGCATCATACAACTTTAATTGTTAAAACAATAAACAATCACAAAACTTACCTTCGAGGATGGCTTGAGTTCTGCCGGCCATTCTGGTAAGCGCGAAGACCAGGCACCCGTCAGAGTGCTAAGCAGGTTCGGAGATCTACGGCCCGGCCCTCCGACGTATGAGTTGCCGGAGCTCAAATTTTGGTTACCGCCGGCGATGCTACTTATCTTCCGCCCACTGTGTTCGCAATCCGCGTGCTGTGTTTTAAGTAGTCAAAATCAAGCTAAGTGAACGTAAATTCCTTGACCCAATACCACCAGCCGTTGATTCAAGGTATTCGAAGTTTGGAGACCTATAGGACATGATTTCGTGAGTTTTATTGTTCAGTTGATGCCGACGGATTGATACTTGAGCTCGTGCAGTTGCGTGTCAGGAACGACTACAGCAAGCCTACAAGTTAATGATTGCCAAAATCAGGCTTAAGCGGGTTCATCATCACATTAAAATAGTTAAATGATAGGAACTTGTGAACTTCAATTCACGGCCACCTTCATACCGCTGCCGCAGTGGCTTCTAGATTATGAGATTATGACTGTTTCGCAAATTTGTGGTGTCCCTGGATGCATTGTGTTACGTTCAGATGCACCATCATCAGAAAAACAAATCAGGAGCACACTAGCCGAGGGCATGTTCTTTCATTCTTTCCAAGCTCTCATCCAGCTTTCTCCCGATATGAGTTAGCAGAACATCTCAGCTTCAGCTCTGGTCCTTCTGAAACACAACTTCGAAAAAATGCTGACTTTTTCCTCAGGTACCAGACAATGATGTTATCCAAACATAGGAGGAAGATCAGAACCATCAAGTCTCGAAGACGCTCTCGACCATTCACAGAGTCCGTGGTGAACTCACCTCTACATCTTTTGGCCGATCGCCCAGCTCACATTTTGAAGCTGTCTGCGATCACCAACCGACTCGGAATATGCAGTAAGATAAAGGCTCACAATTTAGCAACGTATTTCTTCACGGTCCCGGCCACAACCTGCCTCATCCAATATGAACAACGCCGAACAATCGCTCTCCTCCAGCAACACCTCGCTGCCTCATAGTCCCGCTGAGACGATAGTCTCGAGGACTTCATCCAAGCTCGCCGACGAGAAACAGATGAACCCATGGGACGGGTACGAGAACGATGAGGTGCCAGAGAAGGTGCAGCCGCGCCTAGTGCGCAACCTGCGCTTGCAAGCATTCTCGATCTACCGTCGCCTGTTCTCCGTGGTATTCATCACGAACATGGGTATTTTCATCTCGTACGCGATTCGGGGATACAATTCGCAAAAGGTCGCGCTGTTGGCCATCTCTAATCTATTCATCGCAATTCTTATGCGACAAGAGTTGGTCATCAATACATTGTTTGCAGTCGCATGTGCCGTACCCCAATCGTAAGCCATTTATTTCTCTGAACTTTTGAATCGTGTTGACAGACTGAGTAGATGGCCACTTTGGATTCGTAAGCTTGCTGCACGAGTATACCATAACGGAGGAGTGCATTCTGGAGCAGCAGTTTCTGGCACTGTCTGGCTCATTCTTCTCGCAGTTCAAGCTACAAGGGAACTCGTTAACGATAAAGGAGTAAGCCATTATATCCCCGCATTATCCTTTGATTGCTGATGGCCTGATTCACTTTTCAGACTTCAGTTGCAACGGTCGTACTCACGTACGTTATTCTGGCGTTCTTGACGAGTATCATAATCTTTGCCCGCCCTACTCTTCGCGTGAAGCGTCACGACACGTTCGAGCGTGTCCATCGATTCATGGGATGGACCGCAACCGCACTAGTGTGGTCACAGGTAATGACAATGTTCCTATTTGCCTTTGATCATGCGTTAATATGGTTATTGCAGGTCGTCTTACTAACCAACGATCATAAAGGCGAGAGGGCCCTCGGCAATACTCTTGTCCGTTCAGCTCCGTTCTGGCTGATGATCGTTCTGAGCTGCTCGCTTATCCTTCCTTGGGTGAGACTTCAAAAGGTCCCTGTTCGGAGTGTCGTGCTCTCCGACCATGCTGTCCAGCTGTTTGTTGACTACGGTAAGACGGACGTTCTTTCGATTCTTTGTCTGTACCTATCTGCTTTCAAAAGGCCCACACCCAGTACCTGGCTCGTTCCAGCGTTTCTCTACGGATCCATTGAATGAATGGCACAGTTTCGCCACGATCGCCATCCCCGGAAAGACCGGATTCTCTATTATTATCTCCCAGGCGGGAGACTGGTCGACGGAGATGATCACGAACCCGCCGAAGGAAATATGGGTCCGAAGCATGCCGACGTGTGGTCTCTTGCGGATCGTGCCTCTCTTCCGAAGGGTACTATTCGTCGCAACGGGGAGTGGGATTGCACCGTTCATGCCTCATATCATGAGTGGGAAGGTCGATCATAAGCTGTTCTGGATGGCGCCGAATACGCGTACGACATTCAGCGATCCGTTGGTTGATATGGTATTGGAGAACAGTCCTGGGGCGATTGTTTATGGTATGAACGCTTTCGCCATGTGTAATTTCGTGCTTATACCTCCCTTGTGCAGATACTCGGAAGCATGGGAAGCCGGATATTATCAAGCTGACGCACCGTCTGGTAGACGAGTTCAAACCGGAATGTGTGTGTGTGATCTCGAACCAGAAGTTGACGGAAAAGGTTATTTATGGGTTGAGGAGCAGGGGAATGCTTGCATTTGGTGCTATATTTGATTCTTGAGACGGCAGTGCGTGAGGACCTCTTCTGTATAACTTTTCGGTATTTGCGTCATGAACATTTAAATAATGTAATGGACTGGCGATATAATTTATCCCCTTTTTGTCCGTTTCTCAATACTGTCATTCCCCAGAACATTTTCGGATGATCTTCAACCTCTAAGTTCTAGTTTAGAGATCATGCGCACCGGACACATACGCACGACATTGCCGTCATCGTATGTAAACTGCCTCAGAAAGATGTATTCACCGTGCTTGGACTCACGTCTTACAGATACAATAAGAATTGACACACGAAACCCAAAAGACACTGATATTCAAGGCAATCCATGTATATAAATGCTTGGTACAATGCCAACGAACACAACGACAGATATAACAAGCGTACACTTGGTTCTGTACGATGCGCTTCAGTGTCTTCCATCTTAAAGTTAAAATGGGATGACTTACCATCCGTCCATTATACTGCCTACGCGTCCGTCGTCGCACATCAAGGAACCATTTACTGGCTGAAAGAATCAAGTTGTCAGCTAAACTAACGACAGTGAGAGAAACGACGTTGCACTCACAGGAGCGACAAGGTGATGTCACCGTTGACCTTAGCCTGGATGGCGATCTCGACCTCGAGGTTGAGGTCAAGACGAAGCTTCAAAGCTGCGGGAGGTGCAACAGCCTGGCGCTCAGAGCGACCAACGATTTGTCCGCCGAGGACGGAGGAGGATTGGGTGGGTGCGAACTTGGTTTCTGGGGCAGACATGTTGATACTGAAGAAACCTATGCCAACAACTTGTCAGCCCTTTTATACGATTTCGACCCCCCTGCGGATTAAGACCAGGGTGCTGGCGACGGGATTCTCGCGCCGTATTGTGCGCAAACCGGGTGCCTCGTAGTAGTAGCAACTTAACTTCTTTCGGTTTCGAAGGCGAGGAAGCTGAGATACGTAACCTTTTTATTTCATAAAAAGTTGCGTGGACCAGCGTTTGGTTGATATCTGTCCGATGAAAGGTTCGAGGCCTTCGGACGAGCGATTCGGCGCGGAATGATGTAACTACCCCAGAGTGTATTCGATATTCGATGGTTGCAAGCTCTATTTTGTAACCCTGGTTGCTTTGAGGAATTTTCAAAAATGAAGTATGAAGGGTATGGGCGTTTGTGGGTCCAGGAATCTAGGCTAAGACTGGACTACGAGACAAGAGTCCAGGCATTTTTTCTTTGAGTGTCATCGAAAACTATCGAGTTGGTAACAGTCGCCAACACGCGGTGCGCTTAACTCCAGTAGCTTCTTTGCACAGAATATAGGCCAGCGGCGCCTCAGGTCTGGAGTAACGTATTTCGTCATCCGAAAAAGAATCCTTCTATCAGGTGCTAAGTATTTCCGCGCTTGGAAGGAGATTTCAGAAACTGGTACCGCCCTAGGCCTTGCATCTCTCTTGTTCGAATGCTGAAACGTGTCAGTATTTACCCTCACGTAGCTGAACCACCTCAAAATGTCGTTATGGAAAAGTTTTTGAGGAAACGACAACGATCCATTGTGTCCAAGGAGCCGGATGTAGTCAGCTTGACCGTAGGTAACGGCGCGCTGGCGACTTCATATCGGTCGTGACAATTTTGTGGTTAATGCAAACCTCGGTAAAACATGCGTTAATTTGCAAAGGAAGAGAACGAGCCTAATATTCGCGAGCCGATGTAGCACAGAACGCTGTATAAGTCGATTAATGAGAGATTGCCGAAGGGAGGTCAGCCGAACCTTGCCGATTCAGAATTTCTGAGCTCCGCTTCAGATAGTCGGACCGCCTCTTCCGGTCACTGTTTCTCGCTCAACATCGCCGACGCGATCGGCTCCATTAAACTCACCTGGATTTACCTTGTACCCAGATCAGCAACTCTTCAGATATGCTAAGAAACGGCACCTACTAGAGTGGAATTGAGCCACGAATTTCTTTCAAACGCCTCGCTCTCAAGAGCTCTTCGACTACAGACGTTCCGAAAAACCTTGTCCACACTGCCAAAAAGGGCAGGTAAAATCAAAAAATCAGATAAATACAAGAAAATCATAGAAATAGCATACAGACTTCATTTGTGCGTGTCATTTAGTAGAAAGATACAAATTTAATGATCCATGGGTGCTGCAGTGTGTCGTAAAGATAATACTTGAAATAAGAGCATCTGACTGATGAAGAACTAGTGAGCGCCGCCAGATTTACATGTTCAGGCTGTCTCGCACCGAACAGCCGGTCACACCTTCGTTCTTGCTATCATTGTCGTTCAAGAGACAAGAAAAGACAAGACAGCTCTGAAGAACGATTCTGCATTCAGTCAAGCAGGCCGCCGCCATGATTTTGCCACAGTTTGGACGTCGACAGCTCCCGGTCTCCTGCAACACAATGCCATAGTCCGCCCGCACCAGTTCACTGCGACAAAGACACCTGCAACTGGATATCCTGGCTTTATTTCGTCAATTTTCATGGTTAGGACTGGGCTGGTGGGGGTTCAGGCGTTGTAGACTGGGAAGCTTTGGAGAGGGTGCGGTGGCTGGTATGCTAAACATACATCTTCAAGGGAAGTTATCCACTTTCATTTTGGAACGACTTATTACTGTTTACAAGGGAGAAAACATTTCCACAGCCTCCCACACCACTCTAATGCTCCGCCGCTGCCTCCCATTACCGCTAGCACAGACCCCGCTCATGACATCCTACCACTGACCTATTGGCCTCATACCTGTTACATTACCTCTATACACCTCGTACATCCTCAATGAATCTATTTATGATACATTACACTCACGAATGAAGGCACCATGCTATTTTCACGATTTTCTTGCATTTTTTTATTTTTTTATTTTACTTGCCTTGTTTGGCAACCGTGGACAAGGTTTTTCGGAACGTCTGTACCTCAGTGACGATGATCGTGGCGCTCTCATTTATTGGACCTATGTCCCTGGGACGATATTTCATCACCATAATGTCGTGGATTTCTTCTCTTCTGTGACGCTTATACCATGTGGCAGCTTGAATGATATCCTCAGACCCCTTCATCTATCGGACGTTTTATCTTTGCATACGGACGCTTCTGATTTCTTCGATGGACCTGAACATATCTTCTATATAATCTATGGTCAAAAAAATTGTTTTTGCAGACGTGGCACTGTGTCTGCGATATGAGCATTGTTCAAATTCAGATAGCAAGCTCTTAGTCAATGTTCACCAGCACTGTGGCATAAAGCAAAGAGGTTATTTCCCATGCAATGCTTTCTCCCGCGAGGATTTGATATATATCTGCTATCCTGTCTCAATTTCGGTGCCAACATCTTCAATAAACGTCGTTAGTATCAGACCGTGTTACAAAACACAGACCGGGTTCAACGCTTTCCGCAACCGTTCTGGCAATTTTTGGAGACTCTACAAGAACTTTCCTCTCTAGGGAGGTCCTGTGTAAGATTTTCCACATTCATGCGATCCGGGAAGTTGTAAAGTCCATTTTTAGAACTACAAAGGGTCTTTTTTTAGCCGCGAAGTATGCCGGGCCGACATTCCGGTGCCTTCCAGCTGGCCTCCACGTGAAGTTGGACATTTTGTTCTCGACTTCCACGGAAGCAAAGGATAAGCTGGCAGTGAAGAGGCAACTGCTGGCATTGCTGGCGGTACGTTGGCTGGTAGTCTCCTTAGTATTACTTCATCAACTTCTGCCTTTCTTTAGGAACCCGCACGAACAGCTACCTCGTGCTTTACAATACACGACTAGCAACTTCTCTGGCCGTTTACCTCGAGGCTGTACATAATCGCCACATCGTGGGCGTATCATTGATACCCCTCCTTATTGGTGTTTTTTTACTCTATGTCGAGCAAGAATTTCAACGGAAATCCCCCCAAGTCAAATCGTAATCTTCGTAATATGATCGTCATCTGACATTTGCTTCTTAGGTATATCAATGATTTCAGCAAGGCGCTTGCCAGTGAGGTTCGGATTCTGCTGGCAGAGGTGGGGAAACTAAGGGACGAGCGACGGCAACTGCAGTAGTACGTCCATCCATTCTGCTGTAGCCACTGCCTCTGATCAGTATCCATTTAGTGAAATAGCGGAACTCATGAGCCTCAAGTCGAAGCACGGCGCTGGAGGAGAGTATTCGCCCGAGTGGCGGCCGGTGCGTCGACTTGTTTTTCATTTCTTTTGATACAGTCCTTGATTCGGACCCCAAGCCCCCGGAGCCGCAAGGGTTCAACCCTCCGCCTCCGCCGCCGCCTCCTCCAATGGATGAGGGACCCCCAGCTCCGGCACGTCCTGCATGGCGCACGGTACACAAACGTGCAGAAAGAAAAGAGAAAGCGATCGCAAAGCTCATGCCATCGTCTGTCCCAGCGCCGTCTGCTGTTCCGCCCCTAGAACCTCCACGATCAAACATACCAGCATGGGCACAATGGAGGCGTGCGTCTTGATCCGTAGCTTGTTTTTTTAATTGCGCTCACCAAGAACTCGATATAGCGAACCCTCTACTTTCACCGGCCCCCGTCATGGCCCAACCAGCTGCGCCACTCCCTACTTCTCCGCCCCCGCCTAGCCGCTCAGGCCTTTTCGGTTCGTGTTTTGCTGATAATCCTGCTTTCATATTTAACATTTCTGCATATTCAGGTCCCCCGACTCCTCCCCCTTAAAGTAGACAGACCTACAAAGAAACAGCATACATGTAACACCATCTCATCTTTTGCTTTTCTCATCGGATTTTCTACAACGCAACAAGCATTTTCTTCACCATCTTTTCGCTTCTTATTGTATACATTCGTAGCGCATCGTTTTTATTTTATTGGCTTTCAGCATGTAACGACAGCTTTCTTTTTTTTGTGGAACTAAATGTAATGTATTTTCTTTCCTACGTCAAACATTGATGTCATTGTCCCAGTCCGACTGCAGGGTTACTCTTGCATGCTGAACGAAGGAGAGTTTGCAGGTGTGGCTTCGAAAGTATGCTAGTTTATCTCTGCTTCAGCAAGCGAGCATGGAATAATGCGCATGAGCCCGTGTAAACGGACTATATGCTAGAATGCAGAAGTGTATCCACGAATCGGAACAGAACAATGAACGCCAGGTAACGTCTCCAGGCATCGAGAGTTCGATAGTTAAATTAGCAATTATGAGAAGGAGAAACACGGAACCCTCAGGTAGGAGGCCATCCGCTGATCCCGACCCTAGGCCTCACTCAGGATTCGTTAAACTGAGAGTAGCGTGAACTGCCAGTGGGCTCCGTTGACCCTGGACGTCTTCCACGAAGTCTTTCATTGAGCGCACAATCGATTTATCACCAGACGTTCTCTAGGTGGCACTCAGTAAATACAAATCGCCAAACCATTATTCGGCAAGGTTCGGCTAAACATGCTTATCAAGTTCCGATTCAGCTCCGCTTTAGACAGTTGGACCGCTTCAACCGGCCACTGCTTCTTTAACTCGCGCAACGCGACTTGCTGCATTATTGAACTCACCTGGATTCGCCTTGTACCCTGATAAGCAGCTCTTCAGCAGTCCTATAAACTAGTAAAGCATAAGTCTCTATCAGTAGACTGATTGCAACTGAGCCGTAATTTATTCTAGATGTCACTATCTCAAGAGCTTATCGAGGAAATCATCGACCATCTCAGTGACGACCGTAACGCCCTCATTTCCTGCTCATATGCCTCTAGGATTTTCTATCATCGTACCCGCATGCATCTCTTCACTTCTGCGACATTCACAGAATGTGGCAGTTATCACGACCTCTCTAAAGCAAGGCTTCTCGCCGAGATGCCTCTAGCTGCGAGCCATATAAAATGGGCGCAGGTCGACCATTGCACAACCATGTCTACTCTCTTCCTGCCTGCATCATCTTCTCTATCATCCCTCGTTTCCTTGGACCTCAATTATGTTCGCTTCAGCGAACCCAACGATTTGCACATGGCCATTCTCTCCCTCCCTCTTCTCAAAGAGCTCAATATCAAGCTGTGTTACTTCGAAGAATTAGAGTCGGACATCTCGGCCTTACCACGCAGCGGTCCTATACTTGAAAAGCTGTCTATTTTGTACCCGAAAGCGTCAATGCTGCTGGATCCATTGATGCCACTCCGCAGCGTGTACATGGACTCTCTTGTTCAGCTGTCTTTACAGAATCCTTCTTTGATTGCAGACTTGAACCAATTAATTGAGTACTCGCACTCTACGTCGAAGCTGAAGATTCTTATGCTGGCATGGATTGATCACGGAGGTAGGCAAATCCGTGTTCATCGAGGGGATCAGGATCTGATCTTGGCTTTGTAGCTGTCTATGTTAATCCTCCTACTCGACATCTTCGTATGACGACCTTGGAGGAACTGAACATCGGAATCATACATCAAACATTCAGCATGAAGCACAGGATCATGGAGTGGCTCATGGAGTCCCTCCTACAATCAGAGCCTCGCCATCTACGCAAGCTCACATTACGCATTTTTGTTCAGCACAATACGATTTTTCGGAGCAACGGCGAAATGTGGGCGCCGTGGCTGCGGATAGACGACGCGCTGCCGATGGCCAGGATCGACATTATTTGGGTTTGTAAAGGATATAGGGATGATTCAGAGGGTTTGGATCATGTGAGTCGAGAGATGGTAGCTTTGACGGAACGCCAGTTCTCGGCAGCTCACGAAAGAGGGATGTTGGAGGTAACCGTGTGCACTTGATACCATTGGGCGGCGATCCTTTCCGGTATTGCTTGCTCAAGATTCACTTGACTCTTCGCTCAGATGTGCGTGGGTTCCTTTACGTTCCCAGTTGACTGTGGTCGTAGCAGTTGGGTCTTCACTAGTCTACTTACAACCCTTGTAATAGTATTGATTCTGGCGTGCGAAATGCATCGAGATAAAATTAAGAACGAATTTGAGAGATGCGGTGCACTTTCGTATCCTCCCACGACCAAGGAATGGATCACCGCAAATTAGAATGGTCAAAGGGGACAATAGGAAGCTAAGGCCGGCTATATCAGCAGAACAATTGCAGACATTTATTCTACCGAGTAATAGCAAAGTACACGCTGGCAGAAAATTCTTACAATAGGGAATGAGTGATTATCGCGCTGGAAGTCTGACGTTATGCTGAGGGGGAAACATCGGAATAGACTGCTTGGTTGCCGGCGAGTAATATACACATTAAAGGTTCTTGTTCGTCACAGCTGGACGACTAACTGCGACTAAGCGCTGTACATAAAAATAAGCACGCCGTTACTTAGCCGCGATGCTGACGGATGTCGGAGCGTTTCCCGACTTGCCCGATTCGCGGTGCGCCACCGCCTAGGCCCGTAAAGAAGGAGTCAGCTTCGAAACCACTTAGCAATAGATGAATTAATTGTCACTTCTCGCATCCGGAGAGCCTAAGTGGTGATAACCGAATTCAAAGTCATTGTGGCGCTAAGCACATTCCCGGGGCCGTTTATTTTAATCTTTGAGCTTCGTCACATGCAACTTCGAAATTGAAACTTGGTCGTATTCATGAAACATGAAGTGAAAAATAACAATCCACCCACGAGCAAGCTTGATTTGAGGGTAAACGGTGCCAAGCACTTGTTGAAGAGTCCAGTTGTCGGCAGCCTTGGCGTCACATCTAAGTGCCCAAACACCACCGTTGTTTCCCGAATTCCTAGGTTCCTCACTCTCGGCCAGAAAAAAGCCCATGATCTCCGAGCGAGAGAGTGCTGCGACGGGATTGTTCCACGGAAACCGAAGCGGCGCGGCGTAGAATGGAAGACAAGCACGAGCGAGCGAGCGTCGGGAAGCGCCCAATCTTACGCCATCCTATTTTCCGAGAGTGCGCTTCTGGGTCTCGACCCAGACGCGTACTACCCTTATGAAATTTGACCAGGACGAAGTATCATGAGACTGCGCGAGGTTACGTACCGCGCACTCCTCCCCCCAAGTGATTCCAGAATGAGTTAAGTTGCTGCAACGAGGCACCCGACAAGAGAGAGCACTGTCGGCTATAAAAGCCAGTCTTTTCGGGGCAAAATCTTCAGCTTCATCGACAATGTCTGCCCCAGAAACCGCTACCAAGTTCTCTTCTCCCTCTTTTGCCTCTGCCGGCGGACAGGTTGCTGCTCGCTCCAACAGGCAGGCCGCCGCACCCGCCAAGGAGGCCTTGAAGCTTCGCTTGGACCTCAACCTTGAGGTTGAGATCGCCATCCAGGCCAAGGTCAATGGTGATATCACCTTGTCGCTCCTGTGAGTATTCCTTGACGTCGTCTATGAATGTGACTGACTTTTGACGCGTCTGTAGTGAGTAGACATGTTGCTGCAACTGGGCGCAATTGGTGTGGTCAGTCGTGACTTCAGGTTAGTTGCCATTGTCTTGTCAGCTAGGAAATGGCTGAGTGTTTGTTGTTACCCAGGATTTGACGCGATGGCGGATAGGAGACTCAATTGAATGTACCATTTGTTACGCGTAGCGCTGTAATTCACTTCATGACCAGTCATTCCTTCGAGTGATGTTAGTAATAAGTCGCCCGAGAAAATTAGTAGCAAATTCTGCTGGCATTGTTAATCTACTTGCAAGATCTTTAACCTAAGCTGGGATTTATTAGGAGGTATGGGGTTAGTGATGATTTCGTTGTGATAATTCGATGACTGCAGTAGTTGAAGTTAAGCACACCGATCGGTAGAGGACGGCAGAGGCGGTGTCGGAGTTTTAATTGACCCTTGCCTTCCTGAGCCGCCCTGAGCCGCCTTAGTGTTGGTGTTGAAGTCACTCATTCCTCCCCAATCTTGTCTACATTATCCATGGTCTTTCACAAACACTTCAATCGCGCATTCTATTGAGCGATGTTGCAAGGAGGTCGCCGAGCCTATGCTATTTGGGATCATCATGGTAAGATCTTGTCGTCGCCCTAATTTTGCGTACTGGACTTAGACACTCCTTCTAGTATTGTTCCATCGTTGAGACTGGGGTACGATCTACGATGTAACTGGTGGCGGCGGTGAATACCGTGTCCATGTTCATGAAATTCCTCTATCCCACCGGCGACAAGAGTCGCGGAATCCTTCCTTGTATCCTTGGCGGCGAACGAACCCTCCTGCATTTGATTAAGGTGTACGAAACCAAAGACAATTCCATTTCCTCGCAGCATTTTCAGGTCTTCAAGAGATCCTATGTGCTATAATGCGTTCATGTTCTTCACCGTTGAATCGTTCTACCATTTCTGAAGGAGTAGGTTGACCCAGATTCAGTGAAGGTTGCGGTTATTGTCCCGACAACTGCAACATCTTGCGCAAAACCCTGAAGCGTTGTGCAGATGCCGTCATACCTGCTAAACCGACAGAAGGTGATTGTGGATGAGGATGCAGCGTCTTGATGAAGGTCTGTTGTCAATGGACTCTTGGCCTGTCAGAGCAACGCCCGCTTCGCAAGGTACGGCATCATGTCCCGGTTCGTCAAAGAAATGACATGCTCATATGTTGGATAGAATTCATATTGCTTCTGCTCTTGTGTATACACCAGGGTCCTTGCGACTTCAAAGATCCTCCCGAACGATGTACTTTCTGTTCGCTGTCCTACGTCGCTGGCATCACCAAGTCTTTACTAACGTGCACCTCATTTACTCAACGAAGGCTTGCCCGAGAAGAAACCGGTGGTTTCGCGAACTTGTTTCACCGGCGGATTGTCCTTCTCTCAGACACATTTGTGAGACCTGCGTTGCTATGGATGAAAGGAGAAACGGAAGCTATTGAGCATAGCGGAGAGTCTCATTTTTTATTCCCCCTCAACCACACGGGATGCCTATAACTGCTGCCGGTCGAGGATCTACCGCTGTTCGAAACTGTATCCAGCGGTGGCCCCTTTTAACCGATCGCAGACGATACTTCCGTGGAACCAAAAAATGCCTCCTTTCGACTCGAGGGGCCATTTCGAAGAACCTGCAGTTTTGGATGCAATTTTCTCCGGAATCCATGTCTAAGACGTGCCAAAACACGTGCATACTAACGAAAGGTATAAAATGAGTCCACTCTGTAGCCCGGATCCCCACAACAACATCACTTTGAACAACCAACAACAACACCAGCGAACCACACAACTATTAACATCTATCATCATCTATCATCATGTCTACCGATATGATATGCATGGACGGAGTGTACTGCGCCTTGTGCGACGAGTACTTCTTCGATAAACGGCAACGCGCCGAGCACATTATGAATTCCAACGCCCATCCCGAATGTTGGAGATGTGGCCGTCGATTTTTGAATGGCCAAATTCTTCGTGGTGTAAGTTTCCGTTGTTCTTCTCCCTCCGCTGAAGACGCTAACGCACTTTTTTCTATAGCACTGTGTCACTGCCCCCAATCATCACTATTGTGTGCCCTGCGATAAGCACTGCCGTACAGCGGCAGGCTTTCGTGTCCACATGGAGCAAGTCCATAGCTCCGACGACGACGACAGTGACGACGATGACTCAGAAGAAGAGGATTATTATGACCTCGAAGACGGCTGGGAGGATGAAAGGGGCGAGGAAGAGTATCCCGACGATGTCTCCGAATCAGGAGACGGGCCCCTTGATACGTCATGGGAAGACAGCAATGAGTACGACTTTGAAGATCCGGAGTATCTCAGGTTACCGCCATTATTTGTGAGTGGTCTCTTTTCCTGATATTTGCCTGGTCCTAACTCCGCCTGTCAGAATAATGCGGCAACCGACGGCGCAGAGGAGAGCGATGAAGAAGACGTCGAAGAGACGTCTCACTTCTCGTGTCCGATGTGCCAAAAAGAGCACACGACCCTTTGTGCGACTCCGTGTGGACATGTGTATTGCGTACGGTGCATCCGCTCTGCGCTTAAATATACAGAGGCATGTCCCGTCTGCGACGAACGAGCGACCGAGGACCAGCTCCGGAAGATATATATCTCCCAGGAGTGACGAAAACAAAATGGCTCGGTGGTGTCGCACGAGGTCTTCAAGTTGATCTACCGAACACCCATCAATCGCTCATGCCGTTATATATACCATATGTCCCCCATATACCTCCCCCATAGTCAGTCTATTTCTCGGACATGGTCATTTTATTGCTAGTTTATTGGACTTTTACATATCTTCGGTGAATTCAAATAAATAAACACCTGAAAAACATTCGTTTTTCGTTCCAAAACGTGAAGCAAACGGAATCTTTAAAGTCCATTGATGTAGGTTTCATCACCGCGTCTTGGACGGTTCGGGGTTATTTACAGTTTCATTCGTTATCGTCTGTATAACGCTCTTAACATCAAGTACCATACTTATGGTTGAAAAAAAGTCGGCTTGGGAATAGCTCGAACGGCGATCTAGAATGCTTCGCGTCTTTTCACTCCAACACGACAACCAGTTGGCCTCCTCAAAAATCCTTCTTTCACTCCGAGCTATATTCCAGGTCAGTGAGACGCAAAAGAGAAGGCATCAGCACATACAGCTTCATCAGGATTCTCCAACACGAAATGGAAGCGCTTCAAAATCGACGCAATGATAATCTGCAGCTCGAGCATGGCTAGATTACGCCCAATACAAGCTCTGTAATGATATGAGTATACGCATAGTACGACTGAAATCACATACCGAGGGCCAACAGAGAACGGAGTAAACGCCTTCGCCACAGCCGCACTATCACATTCAAACCATCTCTCCGGCCTGTACTCCTCCACATCGTTCCCCCATACCGTAGGTTCCCGGTGGATAGTGTAGATAGGGGAACTAATAACTGTGCCTCCAGGGAAATAATTTCCGGAAACCATCACACCACTCTCGGGTGTTACACGATGAAGCCCCACACCCACTGTGCAGTGCAGCCTCAGCCCTTCGTTGATACATGCGTGCAGATAGGTGAGTTTCTTG